GGCGCACTAATTACATTTTCTTAATTTGCAAAGTTTTTATCGTACAGTTGTCCGGTTTTCGTTGGCGAGATCCGGATCGGGAAAGTTTTTCTTTTGATAATTAAACACCGAGTTAGACAAATATTAACTTTGTAATTGATTGAAGATTTAATCAAATTTAAAGTGGTTTTACTTTGGTTTTTATTGTTTAAGTACATATAACTGAAAAGTTGAGGTTAACCCTCTTATTACTCTTATATTGCCTACCCCGAATGTTATCACGTGAGTTTAGCCGTGTTATAATTTATTTATTTTATGTGTTTACGGATAACTTACAGCTAGCATAAAAAAAATAATAGAAGAAACAAAAAACTGAAGGCCAAATACAAGTTATCGTAGATAGTCACAAATATATATTATAATGAAATTCAGTTCTTGTAAATTGTATCACATTACACTTATACTCTTATATTCTCTTTGTTTAATCTCATTACATATTAGGGACAAATACCTATCGTTAAAAATATTAAAAAACTTATTTTATTAACATTAACTGAAATACTAACGAGAGACCATGCTTATTGAAACTACGAGATATAAAAGATAAAAATATCGCATTCAAACAGTGTTAGTGTTTTAGCGAGTTTCGATGGCTGCTTGCTTGTTTGTCACTGTATGCTACAAAAAATATTTCTAAGTATTGGTTGGGGTGTTATTAAACGCGGAATATTAACATTTTTATGCATACAGTAAAAAATCCAAAGGGTTATTTCCCGCGGCGGGGAGCCATCCTTGGATAATTAACTTGACTAGCATCTCCTTGTCTTTCCTAATTTGCAAATGAGTTTTTTTAATAACGCCAAATTTGTAGCCGCTGTAATTCCGCCATGATTTACGAGCTCCACTGCGCCGAGACCGCGTATAGATTCACCCTTTTTGTTTACATTGTTCGTCTTTTTAATTATTTGCATAGCTATTGTTTTTTAATATTGTTTTCCTAGCTATCCGCCTCAACAGTATAAGTGGCAGAGAATATATGCATATTCGTATCTTTTCTGCCATATACTTACCCTTCTTGTTGAGGTAAAATATACCCTAGTGTTGTAACTCACTAATGGTAAAATAATTTTTAAATTCCACTAGTTTCGGAGTCTATTTAATGCAATAATACAAATTAATCCTTCCTTTTTAAAATAGTGGTATAACTACGAGTAGAAGAACACGCTTTTTACTTTAGTTCTATTTTCAGTTTTATAGAGATAAGAAACATAAATTATTGCAGTAGTATTTCAATTGTTTTACGTTGTTTGCTGTCACAATATTAAATACGGCAATCGATCAATAGGTTATTTTTTGCCTAGTGTATGAAATGCGCGGCGCGACGCGTGCATCGGATATATTTTTTATTTTCGTTGTGCATCCATTAGTCCGGAAACGGCCATCGATCAAAAGCACAATTCCAATTTACCTATCGCCCACAAATTCTTCAAAAACGACTGCGCGACTATCCGATCTCGCACAAATACAGATAAAAAATAAATTGCCAATGTCGCTGGCCGGTTACTTTATTTTTTCATGTTTGACATTTACATTGCGCCATTTTGAATTATTGTTAAATATTTTGCGATGCTTTATTAATTTTTTTTCGTTAGAACATGTCAAAATAATACACAATTGTGACTTATTTATTCTGTCTTTTATTTTGTCTGCTTCCAGAAGACTAGAGAGTAATTAAAATTACTACAGAATATTTATCTTAAGTCTTTAACCGCATGCTGGAATTTTTCAAACACAATTTAATGCACACTTAATCAATAGTTAATACTCTGTGATGTGATCTTCATCTCGAAACATTGAATAAAGCGGTAAGAAGGTAATTAGGTTATTCTAGCATTAAAGTCGGACATTGGCTCATCTCATTTGATGTAATCATTTATTGATGAGCTGGGAATGAATTTAATCTGTGCGCGACCTCGTTGTCTTCGCCTTGTGTTTAATCACCGCCGCCATCTTTAAAAAAACGAATTATAGCTTGTAGCTGATGCTGTTCGATTTTACATCAATATTAGTAGGTTAATATGTAGATAATTCGTTTATTTTGCAGAAATTCCAAGAATTAACTTTTCTTAAAGTATTGATTTGATTTGATGATTGAAGATTGATGAAATTTAGTCTTTCGATTTAAGTACTTAATTCCCTTTGTGTAATATCAAAGGTTTTTGAAATCTTTCAATGTTGATTAGCATGAACGATCTGTTGAATGGAGACGGTGCAGTGGGGTGGGTGACATAGGATTTGATATCCAGAGCCGATAGCGGGCATTAGCAGGAACAAATCGTCACTAAAGGGTGGCGCTAAGTCCGTGACAAATGACTGCCGCTCTAATGATGCCCACACAGATTTACCACGATCGGGTTAACTATCGGTTGACAGAAAAAATATGTTTAAATTACTCTAACCATTAGGATAATTCGATAAGAATATCAGCTATGTATATTAAATACTAGCTGTTGCCCGCGACTTCGTCCGCGTGGTATTAGGAAACATACAAACTATGTAAATAACAGAAACCTTATCCCATGTGTTCTCCAGACTTTGTTTTATATCTGTGCCAAATTTCAATAAGATATGTTGAACCGTTGCAGAATGATCGAATAAACATAAAAAACTGAATTAATGAATCCCACGGAAACAGTAACTATTCTTGGTATAAAAAGTAACCTATGTGTTCTTCCACACTATGCTCTAAACCTGTGCCAAATTTCTTGGAGATTCGATCAACCGTTTAAACTACAAACGTTAACAAACATCCATCCATTCATCGTAACTTTCGCATTTATAATATTTATATGATATATGATTAAATTTTATATCATCATTCGTTACAATTCAGTACGACCTAGATGTAATCAAAGCTGTAATACCTTGTTGTGCGTATTAACACAGTTATTTCCATCATAAAAGGTATAATGTCGAAATAGACTATTGGGTAATAAAAATAATGACTCTGTATCAGTAAAAACCGCAATAAAAGCGGTCATACAAACAACATATAACGTCTCAATCATATTTTATTATATCCACTATCCTTTGTATTTCAATGAAAAGCTCTTTAATAACTAATAATTAATTACAAACATAATACCCGCGATTCTCCTACATCACAATAAAAGTGTAATAAAAACCGATGCGTGCGCAGTTTTGACTTATCATTCGAATTAATAATCCGAAAAACAAGATGGCGGACGCGCTAAGACATTTTTATTTCCCGCCACTGAAAGCGCATTATCTCTATAGAGCCATTACAGACCTCTCTTGTGAAAAATAATAGATATTCACATAATTATCCCGACCCTCCTCAAGAGAGCGGGACGGCAACACTCTAACAGCTAAGATTGAGCGAGATGTACTGTGCCACTCGTTTCGTCTCGTAGCACTTAAGTAATTGAATACAGGGGTAAGTTGGGGTATAAAGGAGAACTGGAAAATAATAATATAAGTAATAATGTTGTTGGTTCGCGTGAAAGAGCCCAACTTGTTTAGTTGCGTCGTAAATAGAATAATAAACATACGTCTTTCCATTAGATATGGGGAAAGTGCTCGAGTGGAGAGCGGCTGTTTGCGCAAGTTGACATCGCACAGACTGACTAGGTAGACTAACGAAATGTCATTACACAGGCAAGAAACTGTCCTATAGTAATTCGATTTCGAGAAATAAATATAGTTAACTTATATCACCCAGTGAAAATAATATTTAAAATCAGTTTTTTCTCTTTGTGACATTAGTATAGAAGTTTAGATTATGTTAAATTTTTACCTTAAAATATAGTTTAAAAATGTATTTTTAATCCAGTTTAGATTCGTTGTTTATTATTGAAAAGCATATTATATCAACAACTAAATTATAAGTCCCGAGTACAAAGTCCAAAGGACCAACTTGGTTCCATTTTGACTTACTGAAAATGCCAAGTTACCTTTTGCTTCAAAATAAATACTGAAGCAAAACTTAATCTTTATAGTCTTATTCATACTAATTTTATAAATCCGATACTTTAGATGGATGGATGGATGTTAGAGTTTGTAGCTTAAACGGCTGAACGGATTTCGATAAAATTTGGTAGTCTATAAGAACACATAGACTACTTTTTTGTTTTTTAATTCCACGCAGACGAAGTCGCGGGCGAAAGTTAGTAAACTATATTTTTATGATAAAAAATCCGATAGAAAGCAATAGAAGAGGTTAGTAGTCCGTACAATTGGCGTTTCGTGCATTGTAAAGACAAATGGCGCGGAAGTAATTCGTCCGCCATGTTTGCTCACAGCCTTTATTGCGGATGTCGCGGCTCGCTGAGTTTATACGATACTATTGTGTCAGCTAACATACACGTATATTAATTCATATTGTGTTTTATACGTTTTGTGGATTTATTGATATCATATAAATATCAGACTGTTTGTTTCATATGAGATTTTAGGTCAGGTCAACTAATTTATCGACCATTATTTTGGTTTCTCCATATCCTAATTAGACCAAATATTATGTTCAAAAAACTTTTGCTAAGCTTGCTTTGTTTTCTTAGGCAGTCGTAGATTCGAAGATCACATCAATTGGTAACTCAAACAATCTAGAAAAAAGTGTCAAAACAAGCCTTAAAGTATCGAAAACATTTTCATAACGAGTAGGAATCAATTTAAAGACTTACTAACATAACAAAGGTATCAAACATTATAAAAAACATATTGTCACGTTTCTTTGTAACAAAGGCACCTAATAAAATTCATACTTCGCTACTACGCTATGACGTAACCGCCGCTAGTGACGTATTTATGACGTCATCTCGTCGGCTTCACGAAGTAATTAATAACGAGGCCATCATAATATCGTTACAGCCGCTGTTACGCCTAACAACCTGTCTTAGGCTACGGCTTTAGTGCATTGTGAGGAAAATTTTCTGATACAAAATCGTAGACTTACCATTATTCAGAGGCATTATTACAATGAATAATTCTTATCGTAAATGAGATTTTTAAAACAAAACTGCTTTGACTGTGTTCTGTCTAACTGATAAAGCTCTATATTTAACATTAGTGGTAGAGCCATTACCCGCTGTCGGCACCGCTTACGCTTGCCACTAAACACAGATTGCTAATTTTAATAAGGCTGTATTAACACGAGGTCGTAAAACCCTCCTCCCGCCGCAAACCGCCTCAGAGCGCTACAGCCTGCCGGAAGCTGAACGTCGATAATAATTACAATAGAGACGCTACGACCGATACTCGTTAACATAAACTTGGCATTGACAGCTTGTTGCCAATTTTACGATTTATATTAATTATATAAAATTTTGTAGACTTCTTTCTTAACTAAACTATATTTAGTATTATCTAGTCTAGTGCGTAGATGTATCTGGAATGACTAGATAATAGAGAAGGATGAAGGAAATTTTTAAAACGACGTAATTATACAGGAAGTCAAGAATAATAGTATCAGGTTTTAATAATTTCTTTCTTCATTATATTATGACGTCATTTAACATAACGTAGATAAGTTTCAGTTCCGTAAGAATTCAGAATTTAATATCGTCATGAACAAAATGAG